TTTCTTTTCTTTTCTTTTCTTTTCTTTCTGGAATTACCACATTGTTTTCCACAGTGTTTGTACCATTTTATATTTTCACCAACTGTGCACAAGGGTTCCAATTTCTCCATATCCTTATCATAATACACTTGTTATTTTCTGGTTTTGCCTTTTTTTTTAAATGATAGCTGTTAAATTATATAGTCTTAAAACTAAAATAAACTTTCAAAATTTTATCCTAAGAATATACACAGTGCTCATTTTAGGCATTGTGTAAATAGGAAAAAAATCTAATAGGAAACAATCTAATGATGCAGAACCGATTAAACAACGAACACTATGTAACCAGGGACCTTGTGCATGCTAAGCATATGCTCTACCACTGAGCAACATCCTCAGCCTCCGTGATGTGACTTTTAAAATGGGTCCTGGAGGAATATGCAGAAAGGAAGAAAGTGGCGGGGAGGCCCTCTGGGGTTGTGGCTCAGTGGTGGAGCGCTTGCCCAGCACGTGCGAGGCTCTGGGTTCAATTTTCAGCACCACACAAAAATAAATAAATAAAATAAAATAAAGGTATTGTGTCCAACTACAACTAAAAAATAAATATTAAAAAAATAAAACTTAAAAAAAGAAAGGAGGACAGTAGCTACTTTTTTCTTTCTTTTTTAATTTTTTTTTTTTTTTAGTTGTAGATGGACACAATGCCTTTATTTTTATGTAGGGCTAAGGATTGAACCCAGTGCATCACATGTGCCAGGCAAGTACTCTACCACTGAGCCACAACTCCAGCCCTAGGAAGTTGTTTTTGATGGATGTCTCAGCACAAAGAGGTAGGGATAAGGCTGAGACACCTGTCCACACCCCTGCTGGAGTAGCAGGTTTGTTTCCTGGGAAAGCAATAGAATAKAAAAGTTAAGCAGTTGGGTGTGGTGGCACATGCCTGTAATCCCAATGACCTAGAAGGCTGAGGCAGAAGGTTTGCAAGTTTGAGGTCAGCCTCAGCAACTTAGCAAAAGCATCAATAATTTAGCAAGCCCCTGTCTCAAAATAAAAAGAACTGAGGGTGTATTCATTGGTAAAACTAAAGCCCCCCTGGTGTCAATCCCTAGTAGCAAAAAAGAGAAAAAACAGAATATATGTTAGTCTGTGTTGAGTACTTGCCTAGCTGAAAATAGGTATGGATCAGTATAACAAATTAATGAATAGTAGACTAGGGGCAAAGTCAATGATAGAGGACAATGGAGAAATGGCAGAGGGATTTGAGTCTGATGTGGGTAGCRAGGCAGTCATTGTAGGTTCTTGAGATAGGAATGACCAGGGGGATCTGCAGTATACTTCTCCTAAACTGGATTGCCAGTCAATGTATATCTGTGTAATGGGTTAAGGCCTTGACACACCCAGACATAAATTCTTTAAATAACAAAGTAGCTAAGTTGTCAGGAAATGCCTCCAGAGTCCACTCAAGCATGAGTGAAACCCACTTTTCAGGAGTGGACATAACGTTGCTGGGTGTAGTGACGCATGCCCGTAATCCCAGGGGCTCAGGGGGCTGAGACAGGAGGATCTTAAGTTCAAAGGCAGCCTCAGCAACTTAATGAAGCCCTAAGCTACTTAGTGAGACCCTGTCTCTAAATAAAATACAAAAAAGGGTCGAGGATGTGACACTGTGATAAAGCACTCCTGAGTTCAATCCCTGATACCAAAAAAAGAAAGAAAGGGCTCAGGATATAGCTCAGTTGGAAGAGTGCTTTCCTTGCATGCACAAGGTCCTGGGTTAAATCCCCAGCACCAAAAAAAAAAAAAAAAAAAAAAAAGAATGGATATGGATATATACAAAAGAAGCCAGCCCATTTAATTAATGACCTTTTGACATTACAAGTTCAAAATCCCCCACACAGACTATAACCTTCCCTGAAAAGAAACACGCAGCCTGTGAAGAGGCATACTGACCATCTATCTGTGTACATACAAAACAACCCTAAAAGTTTCCCTTCCTGATATCCACTCAATAAGCAGCTTCTGCCGTCTCCTTCCTGTCMGTTCACTTGATGGGGAGGCAGATCTGAGCTTAGAACTCCATGCAATAAAATTTTCTTTTTGCAAAAACCTAGTATTGGGGGTGCTGGRGTTGTGGCTCAGTGGTAGAATGCTCCCCTAGCATGCATGAGGCACTGGGTTCAATTCTCAGCACCACATTAAAAACAAAATAACGTGTCTACCTAAAATTAAAAATAAATAAATAAATATATTTTTTTAAACCTAGTATTGATGCATTCTACTGTCATGTATAACTAATTCAAACAAATAAACAAACAAAAAAACCTCATATTGGCTTCTATGTGCCCAGGCAGCAGGTCCTTGCCAGTATCCCCTGAGGTGCTCATCTAGCAGACACTTCACTAAGCTTTGCAGGACTTAGCACAGGTAACCTCTTAGAATTCTTGAAGTACCCTCTTTGAGGGTTCTGTGATTCCATAATCTCCTGATTTTCTCTCACTTACTTCAGTAGATACTGGTTTTTAATCTCTATTGAGAACTTGTCCTCCTTTTTCCTATCTCTGAATATTGATACCCCTTCAATGCAGAAAATTTTTAAATTATGTCCCGGGCTCAGAGATTTTCCTCTAACTTCTGGGTTTGTACATTCWATTGCTTCCTTAACAGCTCCACTTGCATGTCTCAACATCATYTCAAATTCACCATCAGCAAAATTAAATTCTTTGTGTGTATGTGAATGGGGAGGTACTAGAGACTGAAACCAAAGGTGCTCTATTACTAAACTATATCCCCAGCACCACCAACACCCCCTTTTTTAAAAATATATTTTGAGAGGTTCTCACTAACTTGCCAGTGCTGGCCCTGAACATGTAATCCTCCTGCTTCAGCCTCCGGAGTCACTGGATATAAAATTCAACATTTAATTCTCCACCAGATAAACTCCCCACTTGTGAGTCTCAGTAAGTGGGATCAACTATTATTCACTTATTAAAGTCAGAAGTCTGCAAATCATCCCTATATCCTTTTTTCTTCCCTCTGCCCTCATAATCCAATTCATCAGCAAGTTATCAGCATATGCTCAAAATGTATCTTGAGCCCATCTCTCCAGGTCCTGCAAAAACACCTAACAGATATCGCCTTCTACTCTTCCAACTTCATCTAACTTCATTCATTTTCCACATAAATGCTAAAACTATCTTCTAATGGTGTAAATCAGATCATATCACTCTTTGTTTAAAACTTCAATGCCTTTCCGTRGTACTTTGGATAACTCTAAATTCTTACCATTCAGAATCTTTGTATCCATTAAGCACTCCTGGCCCACTGCCTAGCAGCTAAGACCTTGTCAACGATCTGCAAATGTATTTGAGACAGGAGAAAAAAAARAGGGGTGGAGGCTTGAAAAGATACAACATTGGGCTGGGAATATAGTTCAGTTGGTAGAGTACTTACCTTATGTACACAAAGCCCTGGGTTCAATCCCCAGGACCACAGGAAAAATAAGATGATACAGTGTCAAAGTTGATTAGTGTTTGTAACTGAGTATCAGAGTATGAGTTATTTCTAAGTTTTAACTCAACCTTTATACAGTTGATGTATTTTTTTGTTTACATATTTTATTTTTATTTGTTGGCTATAGGGTAGAATTGTCCCCCAGAGTAAAAGAATCTTTCCCACTGTTCCCTCTAACCTCAGTCCCTTCTGCATTAGTTCTCAAATTAAATGTCACCTACTCAAAGGAATTTTCATAACCAGTCCATCTAAAGTAGCTCCCTCTCTATGCACATCTGTTATTCTCTGTTGCCTTATTTCTCTATAGCACCACTCTTACCATCTGTACATACCTTATTTGTCTGTTTATTCTATCTTCCCCATCAGACTAATAAACTCCATTAAGGCAGGAAACTTATGTGTCTTGTTCTCTGTTGTGTCCTTAGGGTCTACTCCACTGCCTGGCCCAGSGCAAGCTTCAATAAATGGTTACTGACTCTATAAATAAATGAATGAGAATTTAATCTTCAAGGGAAGAGAGCCAAACTAGGAAGATCTGTCTTGGGCTCCATTCTAGAGTGCCTTAGAGACATTCATCTTCCTTTGATCCTAGGTAGACAGGCAAACAGGTTTGTTTGCTTGTTTATTTATTTTAATTGGGCATGGTAGCTTGTAATCCCAGCGACTTGGAAGGCGGAGGCATGCTGGTCAACCTAGCGAAATCCTCAGGATAAAAAATAAAAAAGGCTGGGAATGCGGCTAAATGGTACAACACTTGCCTGGCCTGGGTGAGGTCCTGAGTTCCAGAACGACAAAAAAAATAAAATAAAATTTGGACGTGTTTTTCCAACAAAAGTTTTGTTGAAAGACCTTGTAACATATCTGGGGTGAGAGAGGAGGGAATAAAAATAAATAAATAAATAAATGGCTCAAAAGTAAGTGCAGGGAAATAAAAGTGGAGAAGGGTGGCTGGCCAGGACTTGCTCTTGGTTTGCACCCTCCCCTCCCCCAGAGGGTAACGGCTCCAGCACTTCGGTCTTCAGCGAGGACCCAAGGGTGGCCTGGGCTGGGGCTCCAGGTACCTTTCCCTCGGTAATTATTCATGAGGCAGAGCATCATGGGAGTCCTTCTTACTATTCATGAGGGGGCGGGGCCTCCCGCGGGGACTCCTGGGAGGGATCTCAGTTATTCATGAGGAAAGGGGCAGGCACTACAGAGCCCACTTTCCTTGCTATTCATGAGGGGGCGGGCCTTCCCTCCCGCTGGGGCTCCTGGGAGGATTCTAAAATGTTCTTGAGGCCACGRGGGCGCCTAGGAGGCGGGAACGCAGCTCCGGAGCCGACCGGAGTCGGACCCTCGGTCTTCCCCGCGGGAAAGCCCTGAGGAGATATTTTCTTTTTAAACATTACGAAATTTGAGGATGGTGGGACAAAGCGACTAACTCCCACTTTCCTGTGATTCCTTGGCCGGAAAACTGTCGAAATCTGTGGTAAAAAGGGGTTTTCTCCCCAGTACTTTCTTGTGGAAATAGTTTCATCTTTTCATGGACCGAAGGGGGTAAAAGGTGCATCACCATGTGATTGGAGTCTCCTGTTGGCCACTTTCTCTGTTAAGGTCACCCCAGTTTGCCTCTTTGGAGATGTTTTGGGCTGATATGCGAGCATCCGGGATGGGTCTCTTCTCAGGGTTTGGTTATGTTAAATCCCCAGGATTTGCTGTTTGATGTTTATTATATGGCGGGGGGGGGGCGGGGGGGGG